GGCAATCTACCTACCGGCACCACGCTACGTACCTAGAAGACAATTTGACGAGTCGACGCGCCCAAGCCCGTTCACCAAGCCGGCCTCCTGTTTCTACCTCACGACAGGGTGAGACGTAAAACATACATGTACGCCCTAACCATCATTGACGTGGCCAGCCGCTACAAAGAAGCGGAGCCCTTAACCGCAAAAGATTCGACCAAAGTAGCTCACATATACAAGCGCAGTCCGCTGACATGGCCCACCGAGTTGCAAGTCGATCCCGGACGGGAGTTCATGGGTGCCATGTCACAACTGCATGTCCAACCTCGGCATCCAAGTCAGACGTGGCACAGCCGGAGCTCATCGCAGCCAAACCATCGTCGAGAGATTCAATAGGACCTTGGTCGAGCGCTTATTCGGGCATCAGTACGCTCAGGAAATAAGTCTAAATGAACCCAACACCAAATGGGTCGCGTGACTACCTCAAGTGGTGTTGGCTATCAATCACGAAATCACTCGTCTCACTGATAAAAAACCAGCTGACGCTATTAAATTGAAATCAGTGAACGCTGAATCAGCTGCACCATCGTGTGTCGGGAAAGAAGAGAAGCAAATACCCGACCGGGTTGTCGTGAGGTACCTCTACCAGCCGGGAGAACACGAAGGAGACGAGCCACCGATCCGACATGGTCGACCAAAACTTACAACATAGATAAAGTGGGCATCAAAGACGACGAACCGAACTTGTACTATACTAGGCACATAAAGACACTGTGCATACAAAAATTTAAAATCTAAATTTATCAAACCTGTGTAGACACATAAGGATTTAAACACAGAGATTAGTGACATGTATCCAACATGCATGCACGTGCCACGTTCCGTGACGGCAGTGGTTTCGTCCTTGAGACGTACAATACGTTGTTGCACGTGCATTCCGGGAAAGAGAAACAGCAAATGAATGCCACACAATACTGTCACTTTGGAACCATCCCAGGACTTCGCCGTATCCACCCCAACACAGTTCGACAACGTTTACGTCATCACGGGATCAGACCTTGACGTCCCGCCATACGGCCTATCCTGACCCAACGTCATCGACAAGCTCGCCGAATCATGCCTGCAGACCCTTGTTTTGATGGAGAAATGTTGTTTTTACAGATGAGTCCAGGTTTTACATTTCCCATAGTGATGGACGTCAACGTGCCAATAGACGCGTGGGAGAACGTTATGCACAGGCCTGTGTCTTGGAGAGGAATCGCTTTGGTGGTGATTCCGTGATGATTTGGGGTGGAATACCAGCACGCCAAAGAACTCCTTTGGTGATTGTTCAGGGCAACTTAACTGGTGTGGGCTACAGGGATCAGATTCTTCGACCTGTGGCAATTCCTTTTCTGCAACGTCATGGCCCTGGGTGAACATTCCAACAGGACAATGCCCGCCCTCATACGGCAAGGGTTGCTATGGATTTCTAGCAACACCACAACGTTGACTTACTGCCTTGGCCTGCAAATTCACCGGATCTCTCCCCGATAGAGCATGTTTGGGACGAGATGGATCGACATCTACGCCGTCTTCCTCATCCGCCAGATAACGTCCTTGACCTTGCAACAGAACTTGAGAGAATCTGGCGTGACATCCCACAAGCCTTCCTTGCACGTTTGATAGGCTCTATGCGTCGTCGATGCACTGCTGTTCTCAATTCTCAAATATTTAACACTTACCTCCATGTCGAGTGATCACAATAGTGTCACGTGACCAGGAAAGTGTTGGCTCGCGGTCATAGTGACCAGGAAGTTGGCTGTGGATTCAAAAGTGGTATATAGAATAGCGGAAGAGATTAGGGCCTGATAAAAGCTTTATTTATGAAATAAAGCTTTACAGAAGAAACAAGAAAAACGCATTCATGACTACTGGCGACCGTCTTCTATGGCCCTCAACCCGCCATGCAGAGTTGCGTGCGTTGGGCACGCCAGGGACATTGGGGTCCCGTTACAATCAATACAATAGAGTAAACCCGAAGTTGGTTCATAGAAACAAGCCAAACACATTCATGATGCACTGGGGGCGGTGGGGTAGCCTCGTGGTTAACGCGTCCGCTCGTCACGCCGAAGACCCGGGTTCTATTCCCCACTTCTGGTGTCCCCCGCCGTGATATTGCAGGGATATTGCTAAACGTAGTGTACCTTGCAACAGAACTTGAGAGAATCTGGCGTGACATCCCACAAGCCTTCCTTGCACGTTTGATGGGCTCTATGCGTCGTCGATGCACTGCTGTTCTCAATGCCGATTGTGGACATACCCGTTATTGAGCTTGTGCCATGGTCGTTTGACCCCTGTCCCGCTAAGGTCACATGCAACGTAAAACACAACTTTGCAGATTCTGATACCTTTCGGTATGGACTTACCGAAACAAAGCGTCAAAAATGCAAATTCAACTTATAAAGTTGAAAAATAACGCGATGAAAAAAACGCGCGAAATCGGAGTTCAAACGTTTCACTAATTTTCCCCAGACTTTTCTGGGAATACGGGTTTCAACAGCTGGGCTGCGCTCATAGCACGTGCGCAGTGAAATAGGTTCGCGCAACTTGGAAGCGGGCTGTCTGGTGAATACTCGGTGAAGGCTTTGGTGTGAGCTATTTTCATAATGTTTTGTTGATATCTCACAGGCGCGAGCTTTTTATATGTTATGACAGTAAATAAAGCTGTTTATATAATTTCATTTGTCTATTTCACCACACGTTCTTCTTACCGAGTCACTTTCTCAGTTCGATGCTTAAAAGCAATGTCATTATTTAGCGTTGACACAATTTCTAACTGTGATATAGATATGTCGCTGTCACAGACAAAACTCAATGTCTTGTTTTATTGACACCTGTGTGTCTGCCTGCCTGTCTGCTAATGACAATATTCAATACACAACTGCGATCACTGACCACATGCAATTTGAACTTAACACCAATCAGGCTATACACCATAAACAAAACGCATTGATTTATGGCCCGAGTTCGGTCTCTGTCACATTATGTAATTACACAGACAGGCAGGTGTGATACTTGAACACATGACATGTTATGATGTCTGTTGATTGCAAAATGTTATACACAAAAAATGAGCATGTATTTACAAAACCCAACATCTCTATATATACACACACAATGAGCCGTGAAGGCGGCATCTGCTAATGAACCAGCCGTTACACTTGAGTGCACACCCACCCGCTCTGACTGGGTTCGGTATCCCGGCTGCTTCGTTTCGAGGGGAGGTAAACCCAAGTACAAAATATTGCACTTTTGATTTGCGATTATACGCTTATAATTTTTGTTTATTTGTTTTTCATAATCAGCAATGCATATTATATGTCATGAAGAAGTGATAATTGTGTTTTTAATTATGTTTGATTTTTTGGTTGCATGTGACCTTTCTTAGTTACGAATACTGGGTACAATGTGTGAAGCCCATTTCTGGTGCCCCCTGCCGCGATATTACTGGAATATTGTTAAAAGCAAAGTAACACCATACTCGCTGAGTTATATTTGGCACAAGGAGAATGCATTTTCCAATGAGGGCTACGCACAGCGTCATACTGAAGTGTATAGTTCCGTTACAATCAATACAATATAATAAACCCGAAGCCGAGATACACATCACAGTGTAGTTGTTTCAAAGAAACAAGAAAAACGCATTCATGACTACTGGCGACCATCTTCTATGACCCTCAACCCGCCGTGCAGAGTTGCGTGCGTTGGGCACGCCAGGGACATGGGGTCCCGTTACAATCAATACAATAGAGTAAACCCGAAGTTGGTTCAAAGCAACAAGCCAAACACATTCATGATGCACTGGGGGCGGTGGGGTAGCCTCGTGGTTAAAGCGTCCGCTCGTCACGCCGAAGACCCGGGTTCTATTCCCCACTTCTGGTGTCCCCCGCCGTGATATTGCAGGGATATTGCTAAACGTAGTGTATAACCATACTCACTCACTCACTCATGGCGCACTGGCGACCATCATCTACGGAGCCTCAACCCACCGTGCTTTCTGGTGTCCCCCGCCGTGATGTTGCTGGAATATTGCTAAAAGCGGCGTAAAACCAAACTCAATCAGTCAGTCAGTCAACCCGACGTGCTGAGTTGCGTGCGTTTGGCACGCCAGGAATATGAGATCATGGGTTCGAATCCCGGTTCTGGATTATGTTTCTGGATTTGCTGTCCCTAGTGTATTAAGAGCGTGTCTTCAGGGTCTAGAAGTAAGGGTTCTGACAGACTAACGATTACTCTCTGAAATATATACAACTCTCAAATAGAATAGGAGCCCCATTGACACTTGAAATTCACAACGTGAGTTTGTTTGATTGTTTGTTTGTTATTTGTTTCTTGTTAAATGCCTCACTCAGGTTAAAACGTGTTAAAGTATTGAGCACATGTTAGCCATGTTTGAAACCCTTAACTGTACACATTTAGAATCTCAAGATATAGCACTGTCCCGACACTACAGGCAACATATCAGATCTAAACATGATCATATACTGAACTTATTATCGAAGACCTATGGCATATGGATGGGCATAATTATCTCATTTTGGCAAGTCCGTCGGAAATATTTTACTGCTATTGCACTGTCGTATATTGGCAGGGGAAAATCGAATAGGGTTTTACATCACCTTGAACAGTATTTCAAGTATGAAGAGACTTGGAATTTTATGAGGCAGGAAAGCCATGCATGCAAAATGTAACATGTCTTACTTGGGATTAATCTTTTTTACAAAGAAAACGAATCTCAATAGTTTGATCCGCAGTTAATTACCTTAATGCATGATCGGATAGAGAAACTAACCAAAGAGTTCCCTTTCAGCATGCGTAAAGAAGTAAATTGTGATACAGGTTTCAAGGGAGGCAACACAGAGGTTTAATGGATTGAAACCACTGATAATGTGCTGTGACTTTGCTGTGCTGTGATATTTCTGTGCTGTGCTTGCTGTGCTTGTCTTACCGTGGTCGTCAGGGTGATATTGCTTGACCTTATGACCTTATGTGGTGTTGGATAAATATATTCCAAATTGTTTCATAATGAGTGAGTGAGGTAAAATGTAAAGTCACATCAGCAGTATTTCAGCCATGTTGTGACTTTATCTGACTATGATTGACCGAACTGAGATGGGTACATCTTAGGATGAAAGGTTCATCTTAGAATTACCTGTATAGATCTGGGTTAGAATTGGTCTTCAGTAACCCATGCTTGTCGTAAGAGGTGACTAACGGGATCGGGTGGTCAGACTCGCTGGCTGTGTTGACACATGTCATCGTATCCCAATTGCGTAGATCGATGCATGCTGTTGATCACTGGATTGTCAAGTCCAGTCTCGAATATTTACAGACTGCCACCATAGAGCTGGAATATTGCTGTGTTCAGCGTTAAACAACAGACGAACCAAATCATTAGTATTTACACCAAATAAACAGGTGTCTTATTGTAAACCCAGCATACAACTACACCTCTAAATATTACCAAGAAAAAAGTGACAATCAAATGTTAATATCATACATGAAATTTTACTCACACATGAAAGTAGATCTACATGTTTCCTAAAAACTATTCATAATACATAAGTACTATTAACTACTAGTGTCAATAATAGTTTTTCAGTTCAACTGTACACCTATAAAAATATAAGCATATATTGTAAAAGTTGTGTTCCTTATAATAAAGAAGACATCTATATATTCTCTCTCATAAATGTATCAACCATCAAATCACTTTAAAATGATTTGTTATTTTGCAGTGAAACATTATTTACGATTCACCGACAGTAATGTGCTGAAACAATTTTATAAATAACTGATAGAATAATAACAAAATAAAATAGTTTGGGAGCTTATCTTTTTCACATTAGAATATGTGTCACTAGAAGGGGAGGTAACACAGAAATGACAAAGATAACAAATACATGGTATTATCAGTTGCATGACCCATGTTGGATTTATTTGGTGGATTTGGTAGCCATGTCCGAACTCATATGACATGATCTGGCATGGTCATGTTTGTATCTGGTACCATTCCATACGTATTCATTATAGCCATGCAGAGAAATGAGGTGGCTCTTCTGGCACAATGTGTATGTCCACCAATGGACAAATGGAGGTATGGAGTATGCATTCATTGTAGCCTTGAAGAAAAACAAAGTGTCTCCTGGTGTAATGGTTATGGCATTACTGCAACAATGGACCTAAGAAAGTATGGAAAGCCAACTGTAAATAGGGTTCTCTGTGCAGTTTGGAGTAAGAGGTAGCCTTGTCATTTCTCCTTCTTGGATTCTGAGTGGGTCTTTCTGTGGGCCCTCAGCTGATGAGGGAGAGTGAATCTCTTGTCACACAGTTCACAGGCATGTGCTTTCAGTCCTAGGTGGCTCTTCTCGTGATTGCTAAGTTGGTGTTTCAAACTAAACGTTTTCCCACAAAAAGTACACAAAAACTTCTTCTCCTCGTGGGATTTCATGTGAATGTACATGGCGTTTATTTTCACCATCTTCTGACATATTGTACATTCAGCACTGACTTTCCCAGCTTCCATATGAACGATAGAATGAGTCTGCAATGTACCATTTGATTTAAATGTTTTGCCACAAACGGTACATGAATATGGTCTCTTGTCTGAATGTACAGTGTTGACATGGAGGCGGAGAGACCAATATTCTATAAATTGTGCATCACAAAGTTTACACTTGAATGGCTTTTCATCAATTCGGTAGTTCTCTCCCACGTGATATTTCATTGCATGTCTCACATCGCTCCCTTCATATGGAAAGTAGTATCTATTGCAATCACTACACTTTATTTTCCGCTTTCTCTTATGTACAAATAACATATGATGTGTCAAATTGCTGGACCTCTTAAATGCACTTGTACAGAGCTTGCATTCATATGGCCTGTCTGTGGAGTGGGTCAAACCGTGCAACTGCCAACTCCTAAGCTGAAAAAATTTCTCCCCACAAATTTGGCATTCATAGATATACATTCCTGTGTGAACATTCATATGTTGTTTCATCGCATATGGCGAACTGAACCTTTTCTCACATACTATACATTTGTGACGAAGTTCTCGTTTTCTCTTCAGTCTATTAGTAAGCACCCCGGTGTGTATGGACATATGATCCTTAAGGTAATAGTGGCATTTGAACTCTTTCAAACACACTATACATTTGTGCCACTTGTGTTCCTTCTTTTGTGTACTATGTTTCTCCGCATCAATATTACACAATGGTGCTGGTGAACATGCGGCACTGTCCGTGGTGGGGATGTGTGGAGCCTGCATCTCTGAGGATGTAAAGACAGTCATCTAGCGTTTGTCAGACCAGTGAGAAGATACTATGTTCCATTGTAGATGCAATTCATATCCTCAATCTAACATTTGTCCTCGATGTAAGTACATGTTCCAGTGGTGGGGGTAGAGTTGGACATCATGGTTAGAGCAACCTTGGCATCTGTCAGCTACTGTGTGCTCTCTGAAACAGAATGTGGAACATCACACACTATGTAACAACAACACGACTCCTGGGGCAGATGTTGATAGTAATGAATAATGCTGTTATGTAGGCACCATTTTCTTTTAAAGAATCATTTTGAACATTTCATGTGACATCTGTTTCTTGTAAATGACATATTGTTTTCCAACATCACCAACAACTGTAGCCATGTCAAAGATAAGGGAATAATGTTTGACATAAAGGCCCACATGTTCCCTGATCAATTTACAATTCACTTCATCCTTCATGGCACCACTATTGAGTGTGTGATCTGTTGGAAATTGTTGTGAGTGAGAGAGAGGCGTGATGAGTGAACACTTTAACCACTAACCCACGCTCATTTGTCAAGGAGATTAACATGGTAAACATGATATGGTAACAGAGAAGTCTACCTATGGGATGTAGCAGCTGATAGAAAGACAGATGTTCTATATATGAATGATGAGGGTGATGATGATGACGAGGAGGAGGAGAAAAGAACCTATATGTTGATAATAATTCTGGACAATGTTAGAATTTACGCAAACTAAGAAACACTTTACGGAAGTATTTCAGGTGTACAGTGGTACAAAGATATATGCTTAAACAACATATGAACTATTTCACTGTGCTTTATTGTACTACAAAACCTGTAGCTATCAGTCAACAGGTAACCTTTCACTCATGTATCAAGATATATTAACTAGAATAGCTTTCTGATTACATTTTCTGACAAAAGATATCAAGCAGATCCAAACCCTTGCTAATATTGATAATGATAAACAGTGAGTATCGCATTCCAGACATCAGGGGACAAAAGAAATGGGCTTCACATTGTTCCCGTGTGAGGAATCAAACCCAGGTCTTCAAATTCTTTAACCACTATTCTACCTCAACGCCTCTCCGTAGGTGAGATATAAGCCAGATAATTAGTATGACAAAAACGTGTGACATGCAAACATGACTTGATCAAGAGGTTGGCCTATCAGTATAACACGTGACTGGTGCTGTTGTTGGACTTGGTACAAGAATGTTATAAGGAGTTCTAAATCATGTAATGGGGAATCATGTTTCATGTTAAACCAATGTTCTCTTAAACATACTGGACCAGTTAGTGGTGAAGTCCAATAGGCTTGCCCTCACATCGCCTACACCTCATATCGCCTATAATAATTATAATGGCCAGTTCTACCACCTCTATCATAATAATGGGTATTACCCAACTGGGTGTTAACATTAAGCAACTAGATCTTGTACATTGTCTGAGTGACATGACTTACTTATCTACTTACATTTGTATCATTTGATCAACCGGCGACTCACTCATCATCTTAATTAGGATACTTTGATCAACCATACACATGTTTTGTAGTATAAACATGACTTACTCGTCTTCTACTTTGATCACCTAAGCTGTTTTTTCTGTGTTAGCAAGACCTGCTCATCCCATCTTATTCTTTTTTGCAATGTCGTATATAAACCTCTGCAAGTTTCACACTCAGCGTCAAAATGGCAAAACTTCAGAAAGCTGAGTTTGTTACTTCACAGAGAGGCGGTCTCCAAGTGCTTCATGCTGGATACCGATACAGACTGAATGTCAAATGTCAACTTGCAGTTCACTGGAAGTGTGTCATTCCTGGCTGCAATGGAAGATGTAGCACCATAGGCGACCACATCACATCCAGGAAATTCTGGACGTCCCTCCAACAACCACCTGGATGTGTTTCACAACTGACTAAAGTAGAGAATGCCCTGGTCACATCCCAACATTTACCAGTTCATAAAAGAAATCAAGAAGATTGAGACAGCAAATGTGGTGGTGGAATTGGGTTTAACGTCGTGCTTTAGAATATTTCGCTCATATGACGACGTGCATGCGTGTGTATGTGTATGTGCGGCTGCTTGTACTAGCCCAGACTGAAGCTGGTTTTATAGTGCTAGCCCACTGTGATACCATGCCGCAGTGAAGCATGAATACCCCACTCAGACACATTATACTGACTTCGAGCCTACCAGTCCTTGATGTACCCAGTAATGCCGAGCGCCAGGCAGGGACCAACAAGTACCATATTTTAACGTCTTTTGGTATGACGCGGTCGGGGATCGAACCCGCGACCTTCCGCAGTCCGGGCGGACGCTCTAACCACTACACCACGGAGGCGGTCCGAGACAGCAAATAAACAGTTTAGATGACAGACAGGTCTTGGTGGTGCTGTGAAACGCTGTGCACGCATTGACAGGGACATAGATGCCCGAATTGAGAGACTAAAGCTACACCTTGCAACTGGACGAAAAACTGTGATGCAGTTACTAGATGCAGTCAGACACTTAGTGAAATTACATTAATTGTTCTGTGACTGAATTATGTATAACAGTATATATACTGGGGGTACGAGATAAAGTCTGACAAAAGCTATTGTAAAGCTTTATTTACCAAATAAAGCTTTATCAGGCCCTTATCTCTTTCCGCTAGTGTGCATACCACTTTTTGTTCGCCCCCAAAACTTCCTGGTATATGACCGCAAACCAACACTTTCCTGGTCACGTGACACTATTGTGATCAACCTATATAATGTTGATCTCGGCGAAACAAGTTAATGTGAACCTCCTATGATTTCTTTGGTTTTCGTAATGAAGGTTTGTTTGGCTTGTTGTATCCCTTGGTTTATGTATTTTTTTTCTCGTCTTCACTGATGGCAGTGCTTTTACGAGACTTGGTTCGAATCTCTTGTTTCATTTTGTGATATTTTGCGAGTTAAGAGAGAACCAAACGAAACTCATCCGCTGAGATTTTACTGTCCGTGATAGCGGTGGAAATATGACGCCGTCGGTTCCAAATGAATTCCCGTGCTTCAAATACTCAATAACACCCGGAAATTGGCCAACACATGATGTTTATCTCCTAAATCAGCAAACCAATGTCGTCGTCTTCCGACGTCGCAAAATGCATAAAATAAGCCATGACGTCAACTAAACTGTTGTATTATTATCAGTAATTTCATTACATTTGAAGATATGGCTAGTACTCCGTTAATAATGATGCAAAATTAGTCAATATACATCTACACAAACAGGAGAACATGGGAATCTAAGAACTAACTTACATATCGGATAGGGTCATTCAAACCGCTATTACCTGCTTTCTCAAGTAGTACATTGCCATCTTTTCTTATAAATTGTGAAACTACCAAAACGTATCCGCTCACATTGTTGAACTTTGAATTGGAATAGTTTGGTTCACCGTGAACACAACATAACGAAAATATAGCGTCCGTATCCACAACAACTTTTCTCCAAGTGATCTGAGTTACATTGACCTAGTGTTAAGCATAGCGGAGTTATGCCCCGTTATCTTTATACGTGTATGACCTCTCTGTCGTCGGTTGACGTCATAGAAGAAAATCCATTTTTGGCGAATCATTTTTAATGTTGAGCGTGTAACGTTAAGCATTAGCACATAAACCCATTTCATATACACTTATGTCGTTCAGATATCAGGCTGTATTTTCTTCGCTCACACTTTCTGTAAAGATGCCAAATTAAAAATTCGTAGCAGAGTGCTTTTATCGGTGCACGAGAAAAGCGGAGAAACTGACAGTTTTTTAACGCGTAACAAAATTTTGGACAACATTTAGCAGTGCCTGTTTCTAAAACCGCCGAGGTAGTCGCACTTATATTTATACCAACGGATAGGAAATTAAATATTCTACATTTCTGTGTAATTTTATAGCCGTACGCAGATCCAGGACCACAAGAGCGCAATTCTCGCACTACGTTCACCTTTCAAACATTTTAAAATGTGCGGCTAAAAAAAACAAACCTCGGCATCCAGTGCCGCCATTACAGGGCTACGCCTGGCTTACGCCTGCTAGGTTGCGTAAATATTTAAGAAATACACTTCGCTCTACCACCATGTATAGTGTAATAAAACACACTTTTGCACACTATTTTGCCCAAGAACTATTGCTTGCGTCCGAAAGCACTAACGGACGCTTGCTTGCGAAAGTGTGTTTTATTACACTATACATGGTGGTAGGGTGAAGTGTATTTCTTTTCTAAGATGCCAAATTTAATACTTTCTAAAGATAATTACGATTAATTAAGGCAGAAAACAAACGACGGTGTCGGTGACCTAAATTAAGAATCCTCGCACAGGGCTAACTGGCGCGCTGTTCTATTGATGTGTCTGCCCCCTACGTTAAGACGAACGTTACCAGAAAGAAAAGAAAAAACAGTTTGATGACGGTTTACGTTCGGCTTAAATATCTTCTCGGAATTATTTTAATTACATCTGTCATCAACGTAAACCATATGGGGCAATATGAACGTTGCATTTCTACTACCAGCGTAAGTTTAGATCAGTACATCCAGATGAAGTTTAGTAGTCAAGCGACATTGCATTCTGGGAATGTAAACATTACGAACGTTACCGTGTCGCTGAAAACTTGTGAGTCGAAATGACACATTTTAACCGTCGTAAGACATAAACGTAATGTTTCCACCAGTGATGTTAGCTGCGTGAAGCAACAGCAAACCAAGAAACTGGATGCAACGGTGTAGTTTACTGTAGGAAGCCGTACGAGGCGATGACAACTGACATGCATCGCGACGTCGCTTACATTGTGACGTAATGTAAAATGGTTCGATTACGAGGGGGCACACTAGAATGGCGCAGTGACGGGATAACGTCATTCAATTGTTACGTCATCAAAGAACTATACCTTTATTGTCTGATAATGTATTTTTTTTTCGATTGTTCTAACCGCTGGGCATCTTAGAAAGAGCGCTACGACTGGCGTAACTTTAGCTACGCCTAAGATATGCATGCCAGTATAATGTTACGCCTAGAATGTTACGACTAGAATTTACGCCCGACATATGCATACGGCCACTGGAACGTGTTGAGTACAGAATCGAAACGGTCTATCTAAGCATAGCTGACTACAACGCTGAAGTGGACCTATTATTGCCACCCCTCCACATGTTGAAAGTAAAATATTTAAAAAGATTTTATGCGCGCTTCATTTCTTTTTACTCAGTAAATAAGGCTGATAGAGTTACCTCCCTTCATAACCGGTGGTCCAATTTGAGATTGGGTTTGCAACTAAGTATAACAATGACTACTGTCCGAGAGCTTAAACAGATTGCACGAGAACGGGGTGTAGTCGGTTACTACCGATTAAGGAACCTCAGCTGTTGAGATTATTCAACATACCACCCCCTCCCACTGTCAAACAACTCAAAATCCAAGCGAAAGAACTGGGGCTGCAGGGGCAGATACAGGGTTTTGAGAAAGGGGGGTGCACACTATTGAGAAAAGGGAGGGTGCACACTTCATTTTCACCCGAGTTTCAATGGTCATTTAATAAACTTTCAGGACAAAGGGTGCGCACCCCTGCCCTCTCTGATCCGCCTATGGGCTGGTAGGTTATTCCCGTATGAGGAAACCCGAGCTCGTTGAACTATTGCATCAACACGGAGTCGTCGATCTACAGGGATACGGTGATTTCGTAGACTGAACCAGTTCGTAGACGCGGTGGATTCGTAATCCAGACTGGTTCGTAGACGGTGATTTCGTAGACGTGTATTAATAATTGAATAATAGTATATATTAAGTTTGATTTGTACTTAGAATGTGTATAACAAAGTTGTTATGCTTTGTTTTCAGTGATACGAAACTAAGGGCAGCTAAGGACAACAAAGTGTGATTGAAGAGTGAACGAATATTTTCCCGTCTCTTGTCTAGACTTGTTTTACATGTATTTGTATGAATCTAGAAAACAAATTATAAAAATGTGAGGCATAATCATTATACTAATAAAATGCAGATAATGTTTTAAACAAGATCATCTGAAAGAGTGTAAAAAGAAGCAAAAAGTGTTTGTACAGGTAAACTTTGTCGGCGGATCAGACAAAATTAGTCTACTCATCATAATTTCCCGACTGTTTTCATTGTTGTGGGAGGACTATCAGGTTTCACTGAGTTGTTGTGAATGTTAATTAGGAAGTGGTGAGTTGTTTTAATTGCGAAATACTCATCATCAATGATGTTGAAGTTTCACCATTTTTACTAACGTCTACGAATCCACCGCTCAATCCGTCTACGAATCCACCGGATTTCCACGTCTACGAACTAGTCAGGTCTACGAATTCACCTACAGCCGATCTACAGTTCGTACGCACTGAACACGCTATAGGTAATTATCTGAGGGGCTGGCGGATGAATGTAGACAAAAATATAGACATCGACGACGTCAAACCTCTGATCGCTGTCAAAGTCAATAAGGAATTGAACGACCTGGGAAGCCTCAAATTTCAAATCACGTGAAAATGTGGCTTGATAAACAGCAGACGGACGGTGCCGTTGAATACGTTCAGCCTTACTTCAGGGGCAACCAAGAAGTCAAGACTCAACCCGAGACGATAGACACCTCGCTGCAAAACATACGAGAATACCCGGAACGCTACACACACAGGGGTTCCGGGTGGGTCGTGGACAGAATCGATAAGGTCTATCTAGACGTAGCTAACTACATACCGTTCAAAGGCGGATCGTACCTAGACTTGCCCCCACTACAAGAAAAAACAAGCCATGGTCAACATAAAAAACAGAGGTAATAATTGTTTGAGGTTGGCGATCAGATCGGCATTGTTTCCAGCTAACGTTAATTCGAACATACCTTCGAGCTATCCCGAAGACGACGGACTCAACTCAGATCACCAAAATCGAAAAACAGAACCACATAGCCATCAACGTCTTTGGACACGAAGGCAACAAAAGGATCAGCCCGATGACCGAGGGTCGCATGATCAATATATTCATGATCCAGCGAGGTGACAAGTACCTCTACGCGTGGATAAAACACTTCAGCAGACTGTTGTACGACCAATCGAAACACAAAGAGAAAAAACACTTTTGTGAACGGTGCCTGCACGGCTTCACGCGAACTGATTTATTAGAAACGCACCGGGAGGATTGCCTAGGCGTGGGACAGACAGCCATACGAATCGACATGCCCAACGAAAACAACAACATCTTAAAATTCGCCAACCACAAAAATCAAATGCCCGTACCTTACATCATCTACGCCGACTTCGAAGCCCTCATCAAACACGTTGACACCTTAGGTCCGTCCCGGACAAAAGTTTCACGCACAAAACGCAGGAGCGAGGCCTGTGGATTCGGATACGTGGTCGTCCGAAAACAAACGCTCCCGTGGTGTACAGAGGTCCCGACGCGGCTGAAACATTTCTCATGTGTTTGCAGCAGGAAGAGAAAATGATCAGGAAAAAGTTGTACACCGTCGTTCCCATGCGCATGACCCAAGCCGACCAGCGAGCTCGCAACGGCAGCCACGTGTGCCGCGTGTGTGACGGGTCTACTCCCATTTGTGAGACTCCCAGTTGTGAGACAGTGGAGTAGGTAATTAGCAAGGAAAACACACCTTACTCCCCTATCTGATAGAATGGATTAACCCCAGCTAATTATGGATTAGCTATTTAACTGAATCTTGTGGAGGTAACTTAATAAAACTCTAAAAGATACAATAATTAACCAACTCAGATAAATGGCTTTATAAAATAAACACTTTGTGTAGGTAACTTCGTGATCATTTGAAAGAGAAATTAATTTATCTACTCAGATTTACGTGTTTGAAAAATCTAGCAATAACTGTTGTCACTATAATTAATCCATTATTTATTAACCTTTGACTGCTCTTTCCGATCACCATTATGGCAGGCCTTCAACAAGTTCACGATAATCTTTTTCAGTAATTCAGTATCTATTGAAAACAATAAATGCTCTTCAACGAACAATATCTTCTGTGTTGATTAACTCATTAATGAACTATGCCTCCTGCGGGTACTCTTCAGCAACAGGGCTGTTCCCACTTTCATCGTAGGGATGGGGAAGCACCTCCTGTGTGCACTGAACCATTAATTAATGTGTCTCACAACTGGGAGTTCTCACAAATGGGAGGACACCGTGTGACGAACCGCTGAACGGCGATTCGGTGAGAGATCACTGCCACGTCACCGGCGCCGCTCACAACGCGTGTAACCTCAAACTCAAAATCAATCCCAAAACCATCCAAATGCCCGTCGTGTTTCACAATTTGAGAGGGTACGACTCTCACTTGATCATGCAGGCCATCGCGAAGGTCGACGGCAACCTGACATGCATCCCCAACAACTTGGAAAAATACATCTCCTCATTAAACGGTCTTAGATTCATCGACAGCGTTCAATTCCTGCTGTCGTCTCTCGATAGTTTGGTCAAGGCCAACGACCCGAACGACTTCCACAACACCAATCGATACACCGACGCCGAGACTCGACCTCTGCTGATGAGGAAGGGCGTTTACCCCTATGACTACATGGACAGTTGGGTCAAGTTCAACGAGGCACGACTGCCTCCCATCAACCGATTTTACAGCAACTTGACCGACTCGGCCATCACCCAGGACGATTACTCGCACGGGATTAACGTATGGGATAAACTGGGCTGCAAGAATCTGGGTGATTACCACGACCTGTACTTGAAAACAGACGTACTCCTGTTGGCCGACGTGTTCGAGATATTTAGAAAAAACGGCCTCGAAACAGTACGGCCTAGGCCCCGCGTGGTATTTCTCTTCCCCGGGTCTCTCTTGGGATGCCTTGTTGAAAAAGACCGATGTGGAACTCAAACTATTGACAGATTACGACATGCACCTGTTTATCGAAAAAGGCTTGCGAGGTGGGATTTCCATGGCTTCCAAACGCTACGCGGAAGCCAACAACAAGTACGTGAAAAACGTGTACTCACTGGCTTCACCAGCTTACTGCTTAAAAACCAGTTATGGCAATTATGTTGTTTCCTTTGTCGATTACAATGTATGTTGTTTCATTGTTATATACAGCATAAATATGCAGCTCCTCCACTTCATGTATCACTCTTGCTTGACAACGGTACAAGAATCTGTATCGAAACGTCGCACTCACGAAATAAAGAAGTTGTTATCCATAAAAACGTGTTCCTTATTGTACGTCTCAACTTCTAAAAATGCCACTCAAACAAGTTACGTGAAAAACTATAAGCCGAATCACCCCACCACCCATATCCTCTATCTCGACGCCAACAACCTGTACGGCTGGGCCATGAGCCAGTATCTACCCACCGGGGGGATTCGAGTGGACATCCGAGACGATCGACGTCATGAGCACCGTGCCAGATTCGAAAAAAGGCTACATACTCGAAGTAGACTTGGAATATCCCGTGGAATTACACAAATCACACAACAGCTATCCACTCGCTCCCGAACGTTTGACAGTTAACCCAGATTGGATGTCCGAATATCAACAAACGTTGCTGGGGAAAAATAAGCCGGCTAACGTTGAAAAACTCGTACCCAACTTGATGAACAAGAAAAAATATATCGTTCACTATCGCAACCTGCAACTGTACTTGTCGCTGAGAATGAAACTCACGAAAATTCATAGGGTGCTCAAGTTCGACCAAAATCCGTGGATGGAGCCCTACATTAGAATGAACACGGATTTATGAAAGCGGGCCAACAGTGATTTCGAGAAAATCTGTACAAGCTCATGTTCGGTAAGACGATGGAGAATTTGAGATAACGCGTGAACGTGAAACTAGTCCGATCGAAAGAGGAAGACTAACACATACAACAAATACAAGTACGCCCTTACCGTCGTTGACGAGGCCAGCCGCTACAAAGAGGTGGAACCGTTAACCGCGAAAGATTCGACCCAAGTAGCTCACGCGTTCGAGCGCATATATAAGCACAGTCCGCTGACATGGCCCACCGAGCTGCAAGTCGATCCCTGACGGGAGTTCATAGGTGCCATGTCACAACTGCTAACCAAGCACGGCGTCTTTCATTCTGTTGGGGTTAGTTTTATATCCGATATACCCTTCCCGCCTTTTATTCTGTAAGTTATATATCCGATATACCGTTCCCGTCTTTCATTCTGTGTGGCTTAGTTTTTTTTATCCGATATACCGTTCCCGTCTTTCATTCTGTGGGGGTTAGTTTTATATCTGATATACCCTTCCCGCCTTTTATTCTGTGAGGTTTTAAGTTATACATCCGATAGACCCTTCCCGTCTTTCATTCTGTGAGGTGTAAGTTATATATCCGATATACCCTTCCCGACTTCCATTCTGTGAGGTGCAAGTTATATATCCGATATACCCTTCCCGACTTTCAATCTGTGTGATGTCGTATGATGACAATCAATGACTGTTTACCAACAACATCGAACACCTGTAATACTGCTGAAACAAATACATGCTCATGATATAGTCAGAATTGTACATTCGACTCTGCTTTAAGTAGAGATTACTTATGGACGTGGAAAAGGTTTGGCCTCTTCTATTAATATATCCGCTATACGCCCTTCCCTCCTTTCATTCTCTGTGATGGAAGTTATATATAACCCCCCCCCCCACCCCCTTTAGGTTGAATGATAATTACAATATTTTGTTTTCAACACTTTTATCTAAGGGATAGTTCATAATTGATGGGGTGTGATGCTGATCTTTATGGAGAAGCATGTGCAACGTGAATGACCCACTCCCCTTACAATTTATTTACAAAGTAAGTGACACCCCCCATGCAGCATGTAAAGTACAAAATCAATGACCGCCAACCCCGGCCCCCACTATTCCCATAAATGTTTAAGCATCGTTTTTAAATTTTGTCACGTACAAAATTGCTTCAGCTTTGAGCCGTACCCAATACAGCTGAACTATGCAACCAATTTAAAGTAAAGGATCATGTATAAATGCAGCAAATTCGGTCACAAACACCTGAATACGGACATTTTTTCACAGTTACATAGCTAATTACGACAAAAATCAGAATTATTTCAGAACACAATGGGGTGTTTGAACTATTTCCATTAACGTGGCCGATTATATCATATTTATTACGTGATGTAAATTACATGATGCTTGCATAATAGTACACCATGAGAGGTTTGCTTGAATGGGAATTGCCACACGATATAAACGATTGAATAACTGATGAGTACAAAAATAATTAGAAACTCTTAAGTTGCTTCCAACCTATATTGGAAAATTAAATGTTAGCTACATATTTGCAGAGGAATATGGAATATGTAACTGAAAAATTTCATTCAGTGTCTCCTCACAAAAACATTAACTAAATCATGTTCCGCGCATAGATCGCCTTAAGTTTTAGAGTTAACTGGGAGCAGTACTGCAGTAAATAGGGTTTTACGAAATTGTGGACTGTTTATCCCAGTTTTGGTCGCTACAGCCACAGGCCAAGTCAGGCGTGGCGCGGCCGGAGCTCACCACAGCCAAGCCATCGTCGAGAGATTCAATAGGACTATCAATCACGAAATCACTCGTCTCACCAATAAAAAAACAGCCGACGCTATTAAATTGAAATCAGTGAACGCTGAATCGGCTGCACCATCGTGTAAAGGAAAAGAGAAACAAATACCCGACCGGGTTCTCGTGAGGTACCTCTACCAGCCGGGAGAACACGGAGGAGACACTCGGAAACGAGCCACCGATCCGACATGGTCGATCAAAACTTACAACATAGATAAAGAGGACATCAAAGACGACGAACCGAACTTGTACTATTTGAAAGATGTGCCACCGAGAGGTTTCGTCAGAGAGGAATTATTGATCATACCTCACGACACAATGTTACCCCCACCCAAGAAGTAGCGATTCAAAATATTTAACACTTACCTCCCTGTTGAGTGATCGCAATAGTGTCACGTGACCAGGAAAGTGTTGGTTTGCGGTCATAGTGACCAGGAAGTTCTGGGGGCGAACAAAAAGTGGTATGCACACTAGCGGAAAGAGATAAGGGCCTGATAAAAGCTTTATTTGATAAATAAAGCTTTACAATAGCTTTAGTTAGACTTTATCTCGTACCCCAGTATATATACTACTTATCACTGCTGCTGATGGTGTATGTGATTGACTTATGTGACTGATCATGGTGATGATATTGGTATTTTAACTTATTGAATGTATGACCTTATTAAAGTAAATCATCAGTGCAAGAGTTTATTTTCATTAGTGGAAGTATACCTCATTACTACTGACATGATTGGAACAGTCTACTTTTCTAAAAGTATAACAGCATTTACGTGATGTGCAGTCAACCCTAAATTTGTTTTGATAAGGGTGTAGGCGAAATGAGGTACAGGCGATACGAGGTGAGGCCTTGGCCATGATTCCTGTTACGAACCCAGTCGAAGAAAAACTACAGAACCCAGTTCAGTTAGAGTTTTCCTACATTAATAATAATTGGAAATTATGCAGGTGAGCTTTGAATTGCAGGTTCAGTGACTGTAGTATTTACCTATTTAAGGGCTAAATCACTGATAGCACTAAGACATGTGAAGTTTGATTCACTTCTTGAACAATATGGTTTTCGTAACGTGAGTCTGGAAAATGCATTGTCGACTACATTCCCTCTTTATAACGTTTTAGTATGATGGCCACGGACTGCCGGCACCTATCTTAGAAGTATAAGCTGGCACGGCTCTATCATCTATGTATCTATATTTGTTGCATACCATTTAAAAATACGTACTCACAGCAACAAAACAATAGTGTTTTGTATTGTCAACAAAGTGCCCGGCATCAGCCTCGATAAGCTGGGTACCGTCTCTCAATTCGCAAGTTGACGATAAACTAATAAACGGGTGTCTTATGGTAAACCGAGTATACAACTACACCTCTAAATATTTCCAAGAAAAAAGTGACAATCAAATGTTAATATCATACATGAAATTTTACTCACACATGAAAGAAGATCTACATGTTTCCTAAAAACTATTCATAATACATAAGTACTATTAACTACTAGTGTCAATAATAGTTTTTCAGTTCAACTGTACACCTATAAAAATATAAGTATGTATTGTAAAAGTTGTGTTCCTTATAATAAAGAAGACATCTATAAATTCTCTCTCATAAATGTATCAACCATCAAAACATTATTTACGATTCACCGACAGTAATGTGCTGAAACAATTTTATAAATAACTGATAGAATAATAACATAAGGTAGTTATGGAGCTTATCTTTTTCACATTAGAATAAGTATGTGTCACTAGAAAGGGAGGTAACACAGAAATGACAAAGATAACAAATACATGGTATCATTAGTTGCATGACCAATGTTGGATTTATTTGGTGGATTTTGTAGCCATGTCCGAACTCATGAGACATGATCTGGCATGGTCATGATTGTATCTGGTTCCATTCCATACGTATTCATTATAGCCATGCAGAGAAATGAGGTGGCTCTTCTGCCACAATGTGTATGTCCACCAATGGACAAATGGAGGTATGGAGTATGCATTCATTGTAGCCTTGAAGAAAAACAATGTGTCTCCTGGTGTAATGGTTATGGCATTCCTGCATCAATGGACACATGGAGGTATGGAAAGCCAACTGTAAATAGGGTTCTCTGTGCAGTTTGGAGTAAGAGGTAGCCTTGTCATTTCTCCTTCTTGGATTCTGAGTGGGTCTTTCTGTGGGCCCTCAGCTGATGAGGGAGAGTGAATCTCCTGTCACACAGTTCACAGGCATGTGCTTTCAGTCCTAGGTGGCTCTTCTCGTGATTGCTAAGTTGGTGTTTCAAACTAAACCTTTTCCCACAAAAATTACACAAAAACTTTTTCTCCTCATGGGATTTCATGTGAATATACATGGCGTTTATTTTCACCATCTTCTGACATACATTACATTCAGCACTGACTTTCCTTGCTTCCATATGAATGACAGAATGAGTCTGCAATGCACTATTGGATTTAAATGTTTTGCCACAAATGCTACATAAATACGGTCTCTTATCTAAATGCACAGTGTTGACATGGACACTGAGAGACCAACATTGTATAAATTGTGCATCACAAAGTTTACACTTGAATGGCTTTTCATCAGTTCCGTTGATATCTCCAACATGGTTTTTATTTGCATGTCTCATGTCACTTCCATCATATGGAAAGTAGTATCTATTGGAATCACTATATTTTATTTTCTGTTTTCTCTCATGTACACAAAACATATGATTCGCCAAATGGTGTGGCCTCTTAAATGTACTTGTACACAGCTTGCATTCATGTGGCCTGTCGGTGGAGTGGGTCAAACTGTGGTTCTGCAAATTCCTACGCTGAAAAAATTTCTTTCCACAAATTCTGCATGCATAGTTACACATTCCTGTGTGTACATTCATATGTTGTTTCATCGCATATGGCGACCGGAACCTTTTCTCACATACCATACATTTGTGACGATGTTCTTGTTTTGTCTTCACTCTAGTAGTAAGCACCCCCGTGTGTATGGACATATGATCTTTAAGGCTAACGTTGCGTTTGAACTCTTTCAAACACACTATACATTTGTGACACTTGTGTTCCTTCTTTTGAGGACTATGTTTCTCCGCATCAATATTACACAATGGTGCTGGTGAACATGCAGCACTGTCCGTAGTGGGGACGTTTGGAGCCTGCATCTCTGAGGATGTAAACACGGTCATCTAGCGTTTGTCAGACCAGTGAGAAGATACTATTTTCCATTGTAGATGCAATTCATATCCTCAATCTAACATTTGTCCTCGATGTAAGTACATGTTCCAGTGGTGGGGGTAGAGTTGGACATCATGGTTAGAGCAACCTTGGCATCTGTCAGCTACTGTGTGCTCTCTGAAACAGAACGTGGAACATCACACACTATGTAACAACAACACAACTCCTGGGGGGTAAATTCTGGCGCAGATGTTGATAGTAATGAATAATGCTGTAATGTAGGTATCGTTTCCTCCTACATTTATAGAAACTTTTGGAACATTTCATGAGTCAATGAGTGAGTTCGTTAATCACTAGCCAACCCTCAATTGTCAAACTCTTTATGGATACAGGTTCACTGACTGTAATATTTAACACAATTCAAGGGCTTAATCACTGATAAAATTTAAAGATAAAATTTGTTGACTACATGAAGTAAGAGAATTCATGTTATAATGTATCCACAATTCTCAAGAGTAGTGCACTGTTTCAGATTTTAGTTTGGACCGAGACCTGAGACATTTAAAGGCTAAATCACTGATAGCACTGAGACATGTGAAGTTTGATTCACTTCTTGAACAATATGGTTATAGTAATGTGAGTCAGGAAAATGCATTGTTACCTACACTCCCTATATTTTGCTGATGATGCCGCTTTGGTTGGGTTTATTCGTCAATCTGAGTTAGAGTATAGGAAAAATATTGATGCATTTATTCCATGGTGCATAAACTCCCTGAACATAAATAAAACAAAGGAAATGATAATTGACTTCCGAAGCAAAAAGGACAATTGGAACCTGTTTGTATTGATGGACAGGAAGTAGAAACAGTAGAAGAGTATAAATATCTACTATCATTGATAATAAAATTTCATGGAAATCAAATTCAAATTGTGTACATAGGAAAGCACAATAGAGGCTTTTCTTTCTGCGAAAATTGTGATCATTTAATGTAGACACTACTATCTTAAATTATTCTACCAAACATTCATCAATAGTATTTTAACTTTCTGCTTTCACGCGTGGTATGGCAATCTTCCTCTCACACAGAAAAACAAACATGACACAATTGCCAACATACCCAGCAAAATTTGTGGGTTTCCCAATTTCGAACCTCTATCATTTCAGTATGAGTCAAAAGGGAGACGGTGTTTTCGTAGACTGAACCAGTCGTAGACGCGGTGGATTCTTGGCCCAGACTGGTTCGTAGACGGTGATTTCGTAGACGTGTATAAATAATTGAATAATAGTATTTTGTAAACATATCAATTTTGATAATCACTTGGATTGTGTATAACGAAGTTGTTAGGCTTTGTTTTCAGTGATACGAAACTAAGGACAGCTAAGGACAAGAAAAGTGTGATTGAAGAGTGAACGAATATTTTCCTGTATCTTGTCTAGACTTGTTTATTTGTATAAATAGATTTGTGTTTGTATATATGATTATTTGGATAATAATCATGTGATAATGTAGGGTTTGTGTTGTTCTTGATGATTAATTTTTACCTTCTTGAGGTTTATATACCATAAGTGTTCGTTAAGGTAATCTTTGTCGGCGGATCGGACAAAATTAGTCAACTCATCATAATTTCGCGACATCAAGAAAATAATGAAATTGTTTTCAGTGTCTGTTGTGGGTGGATGAACAGGTTTCACTGAGTTGTTGTGGATGTTAATTAGGAAGTGGTGAGTTGTTTTGATTGCGAAATACTGTGTGTATACTGAAGTGTTTTCTTAATTACTTTGTCGGTTTCCCATCTTATCCTTCTTCTCTACTGCTACCTCTCTGCTGCTCTGCAGTTTAATGTTGATAATTGATGTTTTTTTTGTCACTGATGATACTTACCTAGTATATATTTTTTCATTTCACAAAACTCAATTTCATATATTAGTGGCCTGGAAGTCGTCCCATAGGCAGGAGAATTTGTCGGACGTGGCCCACTGTGAAGCATATTTTTTTTCATCACCGATCATACTTACCTAGTATATTTTATTTCACAAAATGCAAATACTTTTCGTTTACATTAAAGTCATAATATCGATTTTCATCATCAATGATGTTGAAGTTTCACCATTTTACTAACGTCTACGAATCCACCGCTCAATCCGCCTACAAATCCACCGGATTTCCATGTCTACAAACCAGTCTGGTCTACGAATTCACCTACAGCCGTCACCGACGAGATCGAAGAGTGACTATTTTCTCAGTGTTCAAACATGTATGTAAATTTGTGACTTTTCATCACTTATTTGCCGTTCTGTTGGAAAACTTGTTATTTCACATTTTTAATTAAGTTGAAATAACTGTGGACGTTGTGATTGATAATTCTGACGACAAGAGCCTTCCATACATTCCTATCCGCGAAGGCTGCAGCCTAGCCAATCAGATGATCGAAGTTATGTGACATCACTTCCAGCAACACTGTTTTGACGGTCTACTCCCATTTGTGAGAACTCCCAGTTGTGAGACTGTGGAGTAGGTAATTAGCAAAGAACACACACCTTACTCCCCTATCTGATAGAATGGATTGACCCCAGCTAATTATGGATTAGCTATTTAACTGAATCTTGTGGAGGTAACTTAATGAAACTCTAAAAGATAAAGTAATTAACCTACTCAGATAAATGGCTTTAAAAAATAAACATTTTGTGTAGGTAACTTCGTGATCATTTGAAAGAGGAAATAATTTACCTACTCAGATTTACATGTTTGAAAAATCTAGCAATAACTGTTGTAACTATAATTAATCCAAATGTATTTATTAACCTTTGACTGCTCTTTCCGATCACCATTATGGCAGGCCTTCAACAAGTAGCATATATCACCAGTTCACGATAATCCTTTTCAGTATTTCAGTATCTATTGAAAACAATAAATGCTTTTCAACGAACAATGTCTTCTGTGTTGATTAACTCATTAATGAACCATGCCTCTTGCGGGTACTCTTCAGCAACAGGGCTGTTCCCACTTTCATCGTAGGGATGGGGAAGCACCACCTGTGTGCTGTGAACCATTAATTAATGTGTCTCACAAATGGGAGTTCTCACAAATGGGAGGACACCGTTTTGACATCGACAATGGTGGGCACGCCGTGCGAGATTCGCACAATGGATTACTATCAATTTTGGACATTAAAACCTTGAATAAACCTATATGAAGGTAAGATACCCGTGAATGGTATTTATCAGTTAGTTTTCCGCGAATGTTAGCTTATTGCTTATGTGATCGAAGTTATATATCGCATTGTATTGGCTCTTTGAACGCAAGACAAATTTCCCTTGCGGGACAATAAAATTTATCTTATCTTATAATTGTTGCATACCATTTAAAACACATACCCACAAGACCATAATAAATGGAAACGACCAAGGGACAATATATCACGTATTTTAGTGTGTATGATGTACGGTTGCCTCCCTTGAAATCACTGCTTAATCTTCTTCACATTCAGTCGAACACCGAAGTCGATGACCATCCAAACCGTGGCAGGTAATTTGGTTATCAAACTAGGAGTATAGCTGCATCGTGTGTTACTTTTTCCAATTCAAAACAAGTGTTTAGAAGTTTACTAACCAGTCCACGTTCGCACAACCCGGTCGCCGCACAACTCACCGATAAGCTGGGTCCCGTCTCTCATATCGCAAGTTGATGATGCGCAAAGGTAGACAGGAACCAGCTTACAGCGATAACACGTAAAACCCATATTGAGTTATATACGGAATTTGATTTAGTACGTTTTTCTTCGGAGGGAAACATTCATCTCACACTTCCTTGAAAAATGAACCCATATAAAAGTCTGCTGTAGAAACTGGAAACATCTTAAATGTTTGTTACTCATTTTCCATTCGTCGAATATTTTAAGATGGTAATCACACATAAACTTGTGTGGAAATTCTTATTCAGTGTTACTGTTTCTATGATAAGTATTTATTTTTACAAATAACATTTTCAAGAAATGTTTTAATGTTTTAAAGTGTTACTCTGTGATTCTAAAGGGAAAATCTGAAAGCAAGAATATATTTCTAGATTACAGGTTACAGCACTATCACAGAATCACAATACCGTAGTAGAAACGCTAAAGTGAGAGGTTTCTGAAATGTTTTCTATTGTTACAATGGAAGAAGTGAAGCCAGCAACGAAATCAGTTAGTTATTGCTATAGGTGAGGTGAAATTGGGTTTAACGTCGTGCTTGAGAATATTTCGCTCATATGACGACGTGCATGCATGTGTGTGTGTATGTGCGGCTGCTTGTACTAGCCCAGACTTAAGCTGGTTTTATAGTGCTAGCCCACTGAGATACCATGCCGCAGTGAAGCAGGAATACCCCACTCAGACACATTATACTGATTCCGAGCCGACCAGTCCTTGTTGTACCCATTAATGCCGAGCGCCAGGCAGGGACCAACAAGTACCATATTTTAACGTCTTTTGGTATGACGCGGTCGGGGAATCGAACACCGCGACCTTCCGCTCTCCGGGCGGATGCTCTAACCACTACACCACGGAGGCGGTCTAGTTATTGCTATAACTGAACCTGAACGCTATATTCTATTGTTCATGGCCCAATGTAAAAGGGTGAACACACGGTTTCTCCTTAAATGAAATTTCATAACATTCACAGGAATAATAAAAATGATCACCCTCTTATTCCCATATGGGTAGAAATCAGTATTTAGTCTCACCTCTACCTCTGCTCTTGAATTCGAAATATGTAAACAAAATTAATAGTACACATAGCATCATGCCCTGTCACCTGACAACTGAGTAGACTGAGCGCCCCATCCTCGAGGGACGCATCTACGAAAAGATGACGAGTGGGTTTGAACAGGTATCGGATATGCAATTCCCATTTCGAAAGAATGAGTGTGTTTAGTTTTGCGCAACAGAGTAAAAATTACCAGTCTTCAGGGGCGGATACAGAGTTTTGAAAAAAAGTGTGTGTGTGCATTGTTCATTTTCGCCCGAGACCAAATGGCAAGCTTAGAATGTGTGTTTGGGAAAAGGTGGCAAATATACACGGTCTTCCACGCCGCCTCTTGTGGCTTTGTGACCCAAGTGTTAGTTGCAGACATTAATCTGCATATGTGTTAACTCAACTCGTATGAACTCAGTTTTCTTTGTATTGTTTACCTACAATTACCTTTCAAACACACAGACACTCTTCACAGACTTGGCTGTGTTACAGTTTGTTACAGTCAGATGCATTAATTAGTTGCTTGTATGTTACCTCTACACTAAGACTGGTGTCACAGAAAGCTACTGATAGAGGATGCATTTCTCAAACATACGTCTGCGATGCTTTTTCACATATTTGTGAACTATCCCATCAGAATCTATTTTCTTGTCCTGGTTCAGGTGGATCAGTGTCAGTCAGTCCAGCACTCCTGACCCATGGTACTCCTCAGATGCATCTTCAGCCTTTTAAGGCTGGAAAATGTCCTTTCTGCTTCAGTGCTTGTAACTGGAAGTGTAACAGCAATTGTGAGCAGCTTACGGATATTAGGGAAAACATCCTCATCAGCAGATTTCAAACTTTCGATTGCACCTTCAGGGTGGTATTCCTGTAACAACCAATGAAGGCGGTAACTTCGGAGTTCTGCCAGAAGAGAAGACATCATTGGTAAGTCATTCTCCCAGAACATTAGTTTTGCTTCCAACTGTAGTAGATCTGGTTGCTGAACAACCGCACATGGCAGAAGACCAAACAGTTCAATTCCAGGACGGTTCTCTGGACTGAACCTTGTGTTCATCTCTTCTTGCAGGTGGTCAAGGAAAGGAATAATCAAATTGAGCTTGAAGTGTTCTTCGGGAGATTGGGATGGTGCATTCGCTTTCTGTGTCGTCCTCTTCACAACCCTAGGGAGATGTATCAATCTGTTCTGCAATAGCACAAGCTCCCACATACCAATTATGACTCCTTTGATCCACATCAACCCTCATGGTTTTGATCATTGATACCCTTTCGTCAATAAGTTTGTAAGCCATGAAGATGTCGTTGTCCCTTTTTTTGAAGTTTGACTGCCAGTGGTTTAACAACTTCAAGTGCATAATGGGCCACCATAAACGCCATGATGTGTTGCTTATCTCTCAGAATGGTCAAAAGCCCTTGTGCTTTTATGGTTGTCTCTTTGTCCCATGCCCAGTTCTCATCACGATAAATGTATATAGGATGATATAGGATGGCCTCAAAACATGTGCAAATGTGGCTATACAACGTTTGAAAGACGTCAAAGCACACATGCCTCTCCACCCATCTAGTCTTGCAAAATCCCAAAGGACGAGTTCTTGTCATATCAGTGCAAAACGCTTTCAGAACTCTCTCTAAGTACCTCTGGCGTTTTGATGACTTGTCAAAGAAAAGAAAAACTTGGTTGATGTTGTCCATCATGTTTCTGATTGGAGGGATTTTGCATGATTTTCAGAACATGGCTGTTGCAATGCGTGTACCAATGTTTTCATATGAGCCTGAATGCCAACTCGAGATGAAGACATGCAGGATGCACCATCATAGCTTTGTCCTCGATATTTGGTGATATCAATGCCTTGGTCTTTCAGTGCTGACCTGTTGTTCTTTCTAAATGTACATTATCAAAGAATGTCTCTTTGATAGTCATTGTATTTTGATCAACATATCTCAGGCAAAGACCAAGAACCTCAACATTGGAAAACGTATCTGTGACTTCCATCTGCAATCACAGAAAACACAGCCACTTCTGTTTGAAGCTGAGTGACCACCTCTGAGCGATTGTGGTCACCAACTACTTCAATGAGTTCATTTTGAACTGCTTTGCTGGTATATTAGGCGTTTCTTCTGCCAAACTCTAAATGATGACGTAGTTTGTCATCTCTATCTGCCAGTAGATTTAATATGGCCAGAAAGTTTCCCTTGTTTGGCTGTTCTGATGTCCTGTCATCTCTGTGCCCCCTCAGAGACAAACCTTGTCTGCCACAGAGTATCACTGTGTCAACTATTTCTTTCAGAATGTGGCATTTCAAGTTGTACATCTCCTTATTCTGTTGAGATATCCGATAAGGTAAAGACTTTTCAGGTTCTTTGTAAATGCGTAGGAAGTCCAATGCTGCAAGAACAGCTTGTTTGTGAAAAAAGGTATTCTGGTGAGTCTCAAATGCACCTTTTTTCCCAGTTGCTTTAGACAAATTTGTGAAAGGATACTTTACTAAAGACCCTGCGCACTTTCACTCATCACCCAGGTTCGGAAACAGAACATACATTTTATATAAGCCTCCACCTGCTGCTGGACTGTACACTAGCCAACTGTACTTATTCAACCAGCTGTGCTGGAATACAAGATGCAACAGACATGTTACTCGTTTCTGTTGTGGTCGAGCTCTTGTTTGCGAAACAAACCCGTCATATTCTGACGTGGGATGAAAGTGATGTTTCAGGTATTTGTACTTTTGATCTTTACTTAAAGTACTGAGGTTAACTTTGCCTGAAACGATATCCCCAACGTCAATGCCATCATACCTTACAGTCGTGCTCTTTGTCTCAACTGGGTCGGTTGGGTAGCCTAGTGGTAAAGGGTTGGCTCGTCACGCCGAAGACCCGGTTTCGAATCCCCACATAGGTACATTGTGTGAAACCCATTTCTGGTGTCCCCCGCCGTGATGTTGCTGGAATATTGCTAAAAGCAGCGTAAAACCAAACTCAGTCAGTCAGACAGCTTTGTCTCAACTGGATCAATGCCAGGCACAGACATTTTCGGCTTCTTGTTAGCTGGTTCACTGCTGCTGTCCTTCATATCCCTGGTATCGGACTGTGAGAAACCAGACATTGTGAAGCCTTTTCAGGTGCTTTTTTCCATACACTATCAGCTGAGTATATGTCACTCTGCTTTTGAACAAGTATCTGGCAAAGCACACTTACTTTCCATCTAGCCAGTTTCAATACAGGCCACAAAATGGTTAGGTTTCCATCCCGCTGTGTCTGCTGGTCATGTGGGTCCACATGATACAGATAGGTGGGGTCTTTATTTCCCGCATGAGTGGTGTGATGGTTTGGTGCATGGCCTGTCGATCAATTGCTACACTCGAATATTGGGATAAACCGATATGACTGTGCGCTGAAAAGCATTGCTTGCCGCGTATATGTGAATAAGAGAGGAATACCGTCCATTGTTTACAGTGTTAAGTACCTCTTTCCGAAATGTTTGTTGCATAGATGAAGTTACAAGTGGTGCATCAGCTGCTGAGGTAATAACGACATACTGTAGCAACTTCTGGTTTTCCTTGGCTTTCCCACCTGACATAGCAGCAAGTGATGACTGGTTGATGTATAGCTTCTCGTTCACAACAAGCTCATTTATGATACGCACCCGGCATTCCAGATGGTGAGTTTCATCACCCAAAAGATGTTGGGAGAAGGCTCGAAGGAGACAATTTCCATCACCAATGCATGCAACTGGATGTTGAGATGTCGGAGCATCAGCTGGATAAAGACAGCAACGGAATCGCGAGCAAACTTTACACACTTTGGTACTTGGTCAGGTAAATTGAACTGTTTGATACAGAAAACTGAAACTTCCAACATTCCCAGCCTTGTTTGGCTGCACTAACTAATGCTGAATGCAGCCGCTGGTATTGTAGCACACGCTTCTGGTCGTCCATAATAAAATGATTTCTACATGTAACAATCTTACTTAGTCAACAAGATAAATTTAAA